CTTTACCATTAGATTAATTCATGAAACATAAATACTTTATTCCAATGTTTAAAACCACTAAAATTAAAAAAATATTTGACTAAAACGAACACCGAAGGTTAAAGTAAATTGTGGACTGTCCTATTAGGCTGTCTACTTGTAACATGAAATATGTACAAGTCACGTTGGTGAGGCATGAATCGGAGGCGATCTATTGGATGCAAATCTTCAAAATATCGAGGCAGTCATCTCTCCACCGTAAGAAGGGTGATTTACAATTGTGCTTCCGCCACAAAATATCGTCTCTTGTTGTGCGGAAGTGCGCAGCGACTATGAACTCCTCAGTCAATTTTATCCCCCTTCTTTCATCATATCCAATGGTCCATTACCATGCCACTCCGCTTTGCTAGATCATTCTCAAGGCAGGGCTCACAATAAAGCCGGATTCTGTTTATATTTATCTTATGTAAGTATTGGGGTGCCCAAAACACGTAAAACGTTTAAATCCTGGCAATAACACAAGAATCAGGATTGATACGTTGTTGATGTAGATAGGACAACAGCGATCGCATTACTAAAAGCATATTTTACAGGAGTTTCTTGTTCGAAGGTATTGTTAGAGAGGTGCAAAATAAAGTACAATCATATAGCATGAAATAAGCACTTAAACTTAATTAGACTTATTATTTAATGTTACCTAACTTACTCCTATGAACTCCAGAAATGTTTTTGCTTAAACTACATCGCTGTGAGAGGGATTCATCGCCATGCTGCCAAGTGAGCGGCCTCTACTCTAGAATGTTAGAAAAACTGGTATAATGGATGACCCTTAAAATTGATATATAAATATTCATTAACTGATCAAAATAACCTTTGAGGAATGTCTGACTTACTTTCATGAAGCGCAGCTACATAAACCCATCCATGACTTTGAAACAAGAAGGATGCATTACAAAGCCAGTAAGTGAATTAACGCCCTTTTAAAAGGAAAAGAAAAGGTTAAAGTAAGATCCTTTGGACTGCTAGGAAACGAGCATTGAAAAGTTGGTTAAGAATGTTCTCTAGGAATTGTTTTCCTCTCGCGCACTGTCAAATGTGACCCTCACAGGCGGTAGGGCTTTTGAACGAAAGTCACAAGTCAGGATAGGAGAAAGGTAATGTCGTGGGGACGTAATTTCTTTCCATCATAAATCTGCAGCTTACAAACCAGCGAAGGAGGGAGGCAACTACTTTGCAAGACTGGAATTATCCACTATGGGGGTGTTCAAACTGAGCTCAGCTGCGACGACGTTAGGGTTGATGGTAGCTCAGGGATTTTTGAAGCAGAAGCGTCTCCTCCGGGCACAGACCTCTCACATAATAACATCTAGTAAAAGTATTAAAATTACA